TGTTCTGTCTGAGGTGATTCGTTTTGCTTCTGATCTGCCCCATTACAAAACTGAGGATGGAGTATACCGAGACCCCTCTGGAAATGGAAGAATCGTTTCACCCACTTTGATGTGGGTTGAAGCTCTGGATCTTATGCTTCAAAAGCTATCACAATCAGAATTGGACTTAGGGAAAATTGCTGCTGTATCTGGTAGTGGGCAACAGCATGGTAGTGTCTATTGGAAAACTGGTAGTTCTCAGATATTATCATCCTTGGATCCTAAGAAGTCACTACTTGATCAGCTCAAAAATGCTTTTAGCACCAAAGAATCCCCAGTTTGGATGGACTGTAGTACTACTGCTGAGTGTCGGAAGATTGAGGAAGCCTGTGGGGGAGCAATGGAGTTGGCTCAATTGACAGGATCGCGAGCATACGAAAGATGCACTGGTCCCCAAATCAAGAAAATATTCAATACGCAGCCAGAAGTTTATAATAGCACTGACAGGATCTCCCTTGTTAGCTCTTTCATGGCATCTCTTTTTATTGGTGCTTATGCTGCTTTAGACCACTCTGATGGTTCAGGCATGAATTTGATGGACATAAGGAAAAAGGAATGGTCTAAATTAGCACTTGAGGTTAGTGATGCTAGGATCATCCATATAATTCATGTTGAACTTGGAATTTTCAATTGAACCAACACGATTTAATTCTCATGGTTGTTGTAGGCAACTGCCCCTAATTTGGAGTCAAAACTTGGAGAGTTAGCCCCTGCATATGCTGTTGCTGGAAGTATTGCTCCATATTTTGTGGAGAGGTCTGTTGCACATGGTTTTGAAATGATTGAATATTGTACCTATAAGCCCAAAAATGTAATTGCAGACAAAATTTATCTTGTGTTTGCGTTTTGTGAATTGCTAATGGCTAAAAATTGGTTAATTGCAATGCCAATGTTTGTAATTTCGTATAACTTGATAACTTGTCCACACAAGAATCGGGACAAAGCATAGCTTTACAACCAAGTCAGTGCATAAGCTGGTTGCCCTGGTTGTCGCTTGGAGTTAGAATCTCTGGCGGAGCTTTATTTCAATATCCGATATGTTTCCATATCATCTACATCTTTCAGCTGTTTTGTCTTGCATGCCTATATTTTCTTGCAGTTGTCACTAAAAAGATATAGACAACATTCAATAGAATTTCAAACATCAAGTTGGTGGTTGATATAGTCTAGGTCATCTTTTGGAAAGGAAAATGTCCAAAGTGCAAAGATTGACCGCTGAAATTTTTCTATCTCCTCTTAGGTACCATTTCAGCAAGAACTGCTTGGTTATTAACTGGTCAGGAGACAACCCTAATAGTGTGGCAGGTTCCTTTATTTGTTCACTTGTGACATTTACTGCCATACACCAGCACCTGCGCCTGTGCACACATTCTTTGTTCTATTTCCTGCTAAATTTATGACAACTTAAATCCCTTTTGAATCTGCAGGACTAACCCTGAATGTTCCAGGAGATGTGGGGATCAGCCTTGGCACTAGTGACACTGTAAGTTAAGAATATATAAATCTTAATTATCTTACATCTTCCCTGTTCTTTCAATTTAGTAAATGATGGCAGCTACAGACCTTCCAATGCTTGTATCTTAGACTCTTAGTGTATAATTTCAGTGTGTTTTTGGAGCCAAGTTTCAATATAGGTTCAATCACACCTCAACTTTGAGTTATGACACATTTCTTACTGATCTCTCAGGTATTTATGATCACTAAAGACCCTAATCCAAGGTTAGAAGGACCTGTTTTACCTAGTCCTGTTGATTCAGGAGATTACATGGTAATGTTGGTGTACAAAAATGGGTCCCTTACCCGTGAAGGTAGTTTTGTTAACTGATACATGTATGGTTGTATGCATAGTTGATTCCACCTTACAGTTACTATAATTTCTCACTCCCATAATTGTCTCAATGATCAGACATACGCAACCGCTTTGCTGAGAAATCCTGGGTCACTTTCAATAAATTTCTGCAACAAACACCACCTCTGAATGGTATGTATCATACATTTCAATTTTGTGGCTGTTGTTACATGCTTCTATTTCTCATCACTTTGTTGATAGGTGGGAAGTTAGGCTTCTACTTCAAGGACCATGAAATCCTCCCCCCTCTGCCAGGTGGCGTTTTATCTTATCTCCAAATTATTTGTATGGCAATGATGAATGAACTTTCTTTAATCAATAGGTTACTAAAATATTTTTTTGTTTCCAGCTGGTTTTCACCGCTACATCATAGAAAATTTCACTGGCGATACATTGGATGGACTCACTGATCACGAAGTGAAGGAATTTGATGCTCCTTCTGAGGTCAGAATTAGAATACATATGTGGCAAGCCTTGGAGTAACTCAAATCCTATTTGAAGTTCTCTATTGAGCAATGTTCTAAATTGCAGGTGAGAGCAATAATTGAGGGTCAATTTCTCTCAATGAGAGCTCATGCAGAAAGATTTGGCATACCTTTTCCTCCTCAACGAATAATAGCCACAGGTGGCGCATCTGTAAATCATTCCATCCTTAGCTCAATTGCTTCAATCTTCGGCTGTGATGTTTATACAGTTGAAAGACCTGGTAAGCTATAAACATCACTAGTTGTAGTTAATATTGAATTTAAACTACATTGGTTGAGTTTTGACTTAACAAGGTGTAAACTTGAGTAGTTGATATTTCTCAATAGGAACAGATTCTGCATCTCTTGGAGCTGCATTGAGAGCTGCTCATGGCTTTGTTTGCAGCGAGAAGGGAAGTTTCATTCCCATATCAAACTTGTACGAGCACAAACTGGAGGAAACGTCTCTGAGCTGCAAACTTTCAGTAAAGGCAGGAGATGGGAAGCTGGTCTCCAAGTATGGCTTGTTCATGAAAAAGAGAATTGAGATAGAGAATCGTCTGATTGAAAAGTATGGACGCATCTGACATTGTATGCTGTAATTTATTTGCACAACGATATTTATGTTCACTGGTAGTTTTTTTCTGTTATCAACGTTAGGGAGTCAGCTCTGGATCAATGTACATAGTAAAGCAAGTCTTTATCCACAAATTTAAGAAAAGGGGAAAAAAAAAAAACCTTTTTGTCTTGTGAAAATCTCTCAATGATGAAGATCTTCAACAACTTCGGCTCATGCATTCACCCTTCATTCCACCAGATCTCTTTACAGTGGCTTGCATTCAAAGATTGCTCTTGTGGATGTGCAAGTTATAGACGAATTAGTATAATTCTGCTATGCACTTGGGAAAGCTGGTCATCTCTTCTCTCCCAATGTCAATGTCCTATAGTCCAAGATATTAAGTATATTTTAAATATGTTTTTTAGTTTTTGAAGTGGGGTCCTGTTTAATTAAGCCACTATTTATTTTCTTTTAATTTTTCTTGTATAACTTTTAACTCTATGACTTTCTTTTTTTCTTTTTTCTGTTGTAAATATAATTGATCTTTTTATCAAAAAAATTTTAAAAAAAAATTCGGTGCCAAACGCAACAGCGTCTAAGTTGAAATTTGCTATTTTTCTCTTTGTTTCTTGTTGAGAATAACTAAAACATGATCAAGATTGTTGAGAACATGGTAATAATTGTTGCTAAAATAAAATCAGTTAGCTTTGGATGTACATGAGCATTTCGGTCGTGTTAGGTTTTCAGCTCTCTTATTTGATGGCTTTTGAATTTTACTGAAATTACTCCCAAGAAGTTTTCATAGATTAAAAAATATATAAAAATAAAAAAGACTATACATCATGCTCTCATGTTTGGTACATATAAAATAGAAAATAAAATTTACGGGGTGAATTTAATAAAAGAGTTACTTGTTCATAACATAATAAATTAAAGTTTGAATTTTCATATTTAATATTTGACAGTATCTCAACTAGAATTACTTCCATTCACAAGATAACTTTGAGCAAATATTAATATTTGTGAATATATTATATTTTATGATTTAAAGAATTCTATTTTCATGAATTCTTCTGCCACTATATATTAGTTATACAAAAATGCTAGAATTATGATAAAAATGTATTATCATATTTTAAAAATGCAGCGAGAAACTTGTATAATTAAGGGTTTTTTTAAATAAATCAGAACATGTTTTTTTTTATTTTATCGTTGACTTACCTTGTAGGAAACAATTGTTGCTAATATTTATTTTTGACTCTCTTTTTATTTTGAATTTCACTTGTTTTGCAACTAAAATTTGCTTGTTCCTTTTGACCTTCGGTATTTCGAACAGAATAATCTTTAAACAAGAGAAAAGGATTAATATTTATGATTGACGACGTATGCTTCTTATTTATAAAAAAAAATGCATTCTAATTTAATTAAAAAAACATATCAAGTATATATAATGTATTACATTTGTCGAGGGATTGAATATTTAAAAATGAAAGATATTTTTAATTTTTTAAGGTGTAATTATTATTTTTTTAAAAAAATATTTCTATTGAATAAATCACTTTTTTTTTAGAGTGTAGCACCTTATTAAATAAGGATAAATATGAAAGGATAATGTTAATTTAAAGATAAGTGACTACTTTATTAAAAAGTGAGATTCGATTAAAAATACTTTATATACTATAAAAATACTATGATATAGTATTGTGTATAAAATCTAAAGTATTAATAAAAAATTAAATTTAGATAATACGTGATATAGTTAAATTAACGTGACAAGATAATTTTTCAAAAGAAATAAATTTTAATTGAGGTTGCATCTATTTATAAAAATTTCTCAAAGAGAATACAACTAGACTACTGGGGAAGCATAAGTTTAAATTAAAAAAAAAAAAAGGTGTAAATTTATTGGGTTTCTTCATCGCTGATCGTCATCAGTACCACCAGATAATTTCTTTTTCTTTTTTATTTTTTGTTGTTGGGCCCGAATCATTACCTCTAGACTACCATTACGAATTACGATGCTTTGAATCCCGGACTACTTGGAAAACAAAGTATCAGAAAGGGAAACAATCTTAATTTTGACTAATTTAATGTTATCTTATCCAAATCTTTTCTGTTCATCCGAAAGCCCCGTCAGATGAGTTGGCTGAGCGAAACCTCCTTCCTATAAAAGCCAAGGAGATAATAATACCGTGTGATCGATTAACATTTTTAATTCTAATTTTAGTAGTAACATACGTCGCTGTGGTGTGTTTCGCTCTAATGGCAGAATTTTCTCTTCCCCATGACTCTTATTATCTTGGATTTGATAGCTCTACCCAGTAAGTCTGTGATTTCACCGAACTGCGTCAATTCTCGGAATTGGGTTTTTCCTTTCATTTTTCATGATATCGATTGAGTTCGAGTAGTTTTATTATATTCAGAAACCATGATCGTTCATCTATTTTGTTTCCCCTGCATTGTTGTTTTACGGCTACAATTGTCAACCTTAAATTCTGCTTTGTAATTTGAATTGAATAAATATTCACTTTTTTGGCGTTTGAAGGTCATTGAAGGCGACCATATTGGACTCAAACTTGAAAATTGTTCTGTCAGAGCTGGTTCGTTTCGATTCTGATCTGCCCCATTACAAAACAAAAGATGGAGTATACCGAGACCCCTCTGTGAATGGAAGAATCGTTTCACCCACTTTAATGTGGGTTGAAGCTCTGGATCTTATGCTTCAGAAGCTCGCAAAATCAGAAATAGAGTTGGGGAAAATTGGTGCTGTTTCTGGTAGTGGACAACAACATGGCAGTGTCTATTGGAAAACTGGTAGTTTTCAGGTATTATCATCATTGGATCCTAAGAAGTCACTGTTTGATCAGCTCGAAAATGCTTTTACCATCAAGGAATCCCCAATATGGATGGACAGTAGCACCACTGCTGAGTGTAGGAAGATTGAGGAAGCTTGTGGGGGAGCAATGGAGTTGGCTCAAGTGACGGGATCACGAGCATATGAAAGATTCACTGGTCCCCAAATCAAGAAAATATTCAATACGCATCCAGAAGTTTATAATAACACTGAGAAAATATCCCTTGTTAGCTCTTTTATGGCGTCTCTTTTTATTGGCGCTTATGCTGCTATTGATCACTCTGATGGTGCGGGCATGAATTTGATGGACATAAGGAAAAAAGACTGGTCTAAATTAGCACTTGAGGTTAGTAATGCTTGGATCTTTCATATAATTAATTCATGTTGAACTTGTCTCCACTATTCATGGACATTATAGTTATACTAAACTAAGAATTTCAATTAAACAAACACGATTTAACTCTCATGGTTGTTGCAGGCAACTGCCCCTAATTTGGAGTCAAAACTTGGAGAATTAGCCCCTGCATTTGCTGTTGCTGGAAATATTGCTCCATATTTTGTAGAGAGGTATGTTGAGTAAAGTTCTGAATCTTGAAGGGGAACTTTAATGGCAAAGCTGAGTTTTTTCTTCCAGTCAGAATGACCTGTGAACTGTAACTACATACTCTAAATTAATGAAAATGCAGACAAAATTTATCTCCTGTTGCGTACTCTGGGAATAATTGCGTATGGCTAAAAGTTGATTAATTCCAATTGCATGTTTCCAATTTCTTGTAACTTAATCGCTAATTGACGAAGGAATCACAACGAATCAAAACTTTAGTTTGATAGAAACTAGAGTATTAGTTTTCACCTGCTAATGTTATTTTCTCCTGAATGTTTGTGAAGCATAAATTTGACGACCAAATTAGTATACAACTATATTAAGCTAGTTGTCCTGTAGAATGAGTGACTGAGCTTTATTTCAAGTATAGTTCTATGTGATCTATATTTTATGTTTTGTTTTGCATAGCTATATGTTCTTGTAGCTGTCTGCCATAATACATAGACGGTATTCAATGGAACTCTATACATCCAATTGCTAGCTGAAATGCTCTAAATCATCTTATGTTAAGAATGCTAAGATTGACCCTTAAATTTATTTATCTCCAATTAGGTACTGCTTCAACAAGAACTGCTTGGTTATTAATTGGTCGGGAGACAATCCTAACAGTGTTGCAGGTGCCTCCATTTATTCATTTCTAACATTTGCTGCTAAATGCCCTTACACTATTCTATTTCCTGCTCAATTTATCAAAATTTTAAAATTTTTTGAATCTGCAGGTTTAACCCTGAATGTTCCAGGAGATCTGGGGATCAGTCTTGGCACTAGTGACACAGTAAGTTAAGAGATTGTGTTATCTTTTTTATCTTACTTCTGCCCTGCTCTTTAAATTTAGTGAATGATTACAGCAACAAGACTTCCAGATCTAAGACTTGCTACCTTCAAGGCTTTTTACTCTGAAAATCTAATATCATTATCCCTATAGAGGCAAATTTTAATATAGTTCTTTCTCAACTTGACTTTGAATTATTCTTACTCACCTCTCAGGTGTTTATGATAACTAAAGATCCTAATCCAGGATTAGAAGGACATGTTTTCCCCAGTCCAGTTGATTCAGAAGGCTACATGGTAATGTTAGTTTACCAAAATGGGTCCCTTACCAGAGAAGGTATTGTTGTTAGCTGATATATATTTTAATGGTGCAAAGTCCATTCACTATACAGTTATTGTGATTTCTCACTTATGGACTTGTCTCAATAATCAGATGTACGCAACCACTTTGCTGAGAAATCTTGGGATACTTTTAATAAATTTCTGCGGCAAACACCACCACTGAATGGTATGTATCATTTTCTGCAATTTTGTGGCTGTTGTTAAATGGTTTCCGTTCTCACATCACTTTGTTGATAGGTGGAAAGTTAGGTTTCTACTACAAGGAAAATGAAATCCTCCCTCCTCTCCCAGGTGGCTTCTTATTTCTTAATAAGTTACTTGTGTGGCAATGATAAATAAACTTTAATCAGTTTGTTACTTACAGTTTTTTTTTTTTAAATGCTACCAGTTGGTTTTCACCACTATGTGATAGAAAATTTCACGGGTGATACACTGGATGGACTCACAGAACGTGAAGTGCAGGAATTTGATGCTCCTTCTGAGGTTAGAATACATACATAGCAAACCATCTAATAATTGAAGCCCTATTTGAACTTGTCTATTGAGCAACATTCTATCTTACAGGTAAGAGCTATAATTGAGGGTCAATTTCTCTCAATGAGAGCTCATGCAGAAAGATTTGGCATGCCTTCCCCTCCTCAACGAATAATAGCCACAGGAGGAGCATCTGCAAATCATTCCCTCCTTAGCTCAATTGCATCAATCTTCGGCTGTGATGTTTATACAGTTGAAAGACCTGGTAAGCTATAAAAAATCATCTAGTTCTTGTTAATGTTGAATTTAAACTACAATCCTGTGATATAAATTAGCTATTGGTTTTCTTTTGAGAAGTTTTTCACTGAGATTTTGATTCACCAGTGTGTTTTCTTTTTTTATTGTTAGTGTAGGCGATAAAATGGACTAATTGATATTTTTAACATGAACAGATTCTGCATCTCTTGGAGCTGCATTGAGAGCTGCCCATGGCTTTGTTTGCAGCGAGAAGGGAAGTTTCATTCCCATTTCTAACTTGTACATGCACAAATTGGAGCAAACATCCCTGAGCTGCAAACTTTCAGTGAGGGCTGGAGATGAGAAGCTGGTCTCTAAGTATGCCTTGTTCATGAAAAAGAGAATTGAGATAGAGAATCGTCTGGTGCAAAAGCTTGGACGCGTCTGAGTTGAAATTTGCAATCTTTCTTTGTGAGAAGGACAAAGATATGATCCAAATGGCTGTCAATAGAATAAGCTGTATGTCAATAATTTGCTTGAATGAGTTCTTTCTTTATCTCCATCCCACTTTTTGTTCATAATTTCTGGAATCAGTTGGCTTTGAATTTGAGAAACACGAGGTGTTTATGGTTTGGTGGTTTTGTATTGAACTAAATTCTATTGCTTTTTTTTTTTCACAAAGTTTTTGGCGGCACTTAATGCAAAATTGTGTTTCTAAATCACTTCCAGAATCATGTTTTTTAATTTGCACTTGTAAATGTAAAAATCTTTATAACAGGCAAGCTTTAAGTTTCAACCCTTTGGAACAATGGTAATATTTTTCATATTCGTGCGAGAAAACCAAAATTCAGGATTGAGTTCACTCTTTTTTTCCTTTGTTAACATTATATATATATATATATATATATATTAAAGAAATGTGTTTGCTTTTGAGGGCCAAGTTTAGTTTCATATTTGAAAACTTGACACACACATGGTTCTGTTTTGATCTCAGAATAAAAAACCCAGCTCTTTAATATAGTATTGAAAATTGGGTCAAAGTCATGATAAATTTAATAAAATGTTTTGTTCATCATCAATCTGATCACAATTGGACAATAAGTTTAATTATTAATTTTTAAATCAGTATTTTAATTGACTCAATGATTGGTCTAACATTCAGTACTTGGACTCTTCGATCAATGCGAAACAAGAAGACTTTTCATGGGGGGGGGGGGAATGAAACAAAGATGAATCCATCTGCCATTTCTGGTCAAACAGGCCGTCAAGTTTGTGGGCCACTAACACCGAATAGTTTTGCACTTCAATAATTGGGACCCAATCCAGATTACTTCGACTCATATCTGCTTTATTTTCCCTAATTACCATTATTTTTTCTTGATTTTCAAAATGGAAAAATTATCATAAAATCCCTCATTGTGAGGGAAATCATTTAGAGGGATCAAGACTAATTTAAGGACCAAATGCACAATAATAATATATCATTTTATACCTTAAACCTATCAGGCTATCACATTACATGACAAAGTTTTATGTTAGCTTTTGAAAATATAATATAATTTACATGCTTGTGGTTTAAACAATCTATTATCCATGTTATTATTTTCTTGTAGACCATCACTTTCAGAATAATAAATATATTTTCATAAAATTTGGAGCTTTAGAGTGTGCAATTTGATAGGCTTAATGAGTAAAGCCATAGGCAAGATGATAAATTTGATATGTAAAGCCATAAGTTTGGGATGCAAAGACATAGATTTAAGACACATCTAATTCTTAAATTGATCGTGCTCTGTCAAAACAATTTCCTTTCTCAAAAACGAATTTTATAGCAATTTCCCTTTCAAAATAGTTGCGTGGAGTTAGATGTGACGCAATTGAGGTTCAATTCAACTAATGGAACAGTTTCTTTTAGGGAAAGAATGAGAAAACGGAATAATTTAGCTTTGACATTTACTAGCCAACGCCCAACGGAACGATTAAAATTACTTTCTTTCATTCCCTTTTTAAGTTTTTCCCTTGGGTATTAGAACGATTAAGATTTAAGATTTCTATGAAACTTAATTATAAAATATCAACAATCAACTATTTGTTTAATAGCATGTGCTTGACAATCCACAACTTTTACTTCTTTTGCTGCTACAGGATTGAGAACATTTATTGATGTTAACGTCACAAGGCACATTTTCAAAGGAAAAGAAGTGCTCTCAGATAATCTGTCTACACCTAATATATATGTGTGCGCGCGCGCGCTCTCAGATAATCTATCTACATCTAATCTATATATATTACAAAAGTTCTAATAAATTATACTATTCATGACTCATTAACAAGGTGATTTACTCCTAAATCGCCATGCAATGCATGCACTACTTAATATTAAAACCGAAAAAATGGACAAAGGGAAAATACTTAAATCCTAAATTCATCATGGCATCGCATGGTGAGTTTAAGATAAAATAATTGAAGGAGTAATCTTTCTGGCAACCAGATACCAAAGGAATTACAGTTCCTCTTGCAAGCCAGGCACATGGCAGAACAAGGTAGCAAGACAGTAAATTTTACCATCATCACCAACATTGCCACCACAGAGACAAGGAAATAATTCACCCAAGCGTCATAAATGTAACAGATCAATTTCCATGCAAAGTATATTCACTAATTAATTTTTAACAGACAGATTCTCTTTTCACTATGTTCTGTAAAATTCAAGCCACAGACCAATATGACACTGCTGAATGCAACAGCAAGCCAAGAGGTACAGATGTCAGCACAAAACAAGAAGACAGGCGACGAGCATGGATTTCACAGTTTTGGTCACTGTCAATTCATGTCCCCTCCTCCCAAATTGAAGATTAAAACTGACACTTAGAATACTACAGCGCACATGCACACAGACCCAATTCAAATTGGCACACTAACCAGTGAACCAATTCAAAAGGGCTGATGAATGCATTCAGGATGCATTACGAAGGTTTCGTTAAAAAAGTGGAGAATTATCCAAGCAAACCCTGGCTCCACCGTGAAATAACAATCCTAAAACTCAACAAACTTCTTCTTCTTCTTCTTCTTTTTGCCAAAGGAAAATACAACTCATCTAACTTGTATCTACAGAAAGACTGGTATGAGGTGAAACAAGAATTAGCAAGGAAAATCATCATATCAATGATGCAGTAAAATAATTACACAATGCCTCGTCAGCAATGTATCAATAAACTGTAGAAAGCTTCACCATTCACAAGCTGTAAATATATATATATATATATATCTTAGGCCTTTGATTTGCATGGACCCATTCTAGCTTATATTTATAAGTATTAGAGCAAAACAGAAGACAATATATTTTGTTTGAAACACATGGATATGATTTGTTGCGGGGAAATTCACTAAGTCAGTAATCCATGATCGTTAATTGTTTGACATGCACCGACAATTACTTGAAACCTTGAATGATTAAAGCATTGGACAGTGTGTGCGTGCGTGCGTGTGACTCCAGTAAAAAGACAGCGATCATTGCGAAATTAACTTCAGGTATCAAAGAAAGCAGACTCCAAATCCTGTAACTAGCGAACTACGGAAGTTGCTCTGCTGAAACAGTAAAATCATGCAATATGTCACGAGTCAATCAGCTATTGTAGAGATTAGAGAGTGCAAGGAGTACAAATTTATCATTTGAACTAAGCACAATAGAGGTAAAAGAACGATGGATCAGCTACGAGGACTGGCTCAGTTGATAGGATGAAGCTCTTTCTAACACATGATTTAGCTCAATTCGGTTTAATTAAAATACCATTCTATGTTTCTACGCCTTCGTTTATTCATTTTTTGTCTGAAGGGTTGTGGAATCCAGAGTTTTACCCCAGCATTCTAACTCTTAATTCTAATACTTGTAAAAATCAGCAGCCTATGAGCGTCATTAAATTAAATGACAAAAGGTACATAACCAAACTATCCAAGTCACAACTCACAAGCAAAGAATAAGATCATGCAAGTCCCGGTAACGTCAAATCATACTGAGACTGCTCCACTGATGCATAAAAGTGGAATGATCAGAATTTCAATTTCATAGGTCCGTCAGATTTTTGGACCACATTTGAATCTAGTGATCATGCTGTCCCCTCTTTCTGGCCACTATTTCGAAAGACAAGCGAAAAGGAGCTAGCTTTTCCCAAGTCCAAATACTACCAATAGCTTGACGGAACCGTTTCATATTCAGGACGTCCGTCCCTAACCCCTTATTGGCTTCAAATAACCCCACAAAACACACATTCTAGGACACCGCCAAAAAAGGGAAAAAAAAAAACAGGTTGAGATAAATAAACACTCTAACGATGAAGGCAACAATGAAGAAAAAATGTGGGATGGCAGAAACAGAAAATCGGAAACTTGAAAGAAATGAGTGGATTAAAAAATGAAGAAAAACATACATCATCATGATCATTAGTTAATAGGATGGGTACATCATTAAAGGGTACATACAGGGGGAAGTCAATAAGTCATCAAAATCCCTCCGTGCTTCTCGGCATTCGGAGAACCCACTATCGATGAAGAGTTGTATGCTCCTTTGTCTTCCTTTAAAAGAGTTGAACTAAAAAGAAAAACCCAGGAGAAAAGAAGCAAAATGTTTTTGCAGCTTCTGAATAGAAGGGGGGGGAAACTATATTGACATATAACTATATATAGAGAGACTTTGCCTGGCTCCATCCTGTCTGCCTTTTTCCACGCAATGAGAGGAGAAGGGTGAGAGAGAGAGAGGGGAGAGAGAGAGCTACATTATAGAGCTCTCATCTATGAATGGACAAAAAAGGAGCATGGATTTACAAAGGGAATAGCAGGAGATACCTCAAGGGGTAGAAGGGCAAAGAGGCCAATGCATGAAATGGAGGAGAGAACCATGTCCTGGAGGAGAGCCATTGCAAGAGGAGGAGGCAGAGAAGACAGGGAAGGAAGGCCCCTGCCGCAATGAGCGTGGGAGAGGGAGATTTGTCTGTCTTCATTGGAGGGTTTGAGAGAGAGAGGGAGGGCTTGCCTGTCCAGAATGGCTATGTTTTGATTGGTGGGAGGAGAGAGTCAAAAACTCAAAATTGTGTTTTAATGTTTATAGAAATAAGGGGAGGCCGGTTAAAGGGTGTTTTGCAGTATCTTCCAGATGCTAATGCTTCCCGGGGTTTGTCACTTCCCTCACTGACCTCCCTCTTTCGATTTTACCCATTTGTTTCCTTCCGTCTTTCAATGTCTCGTTAAAAATGAAAAGGCTCTCTCGACACCGCAAACGCCAGGTTAGTAAACAAATTGTACCAATTTAATTAATGAGTGGTTTCAAGTTCAAAGTTTTGAGAATTTAGGTGTCTAAAAGGATCTGTCCGATTTAATTATATTAATCCAGATTCTGATCAATCATCCGATTAAAGTGTGCTAGATTCCAGTATATATAGGATGCACAAAAAATCCCTTAACCCCCGATGTCCGCAAATCCCTTTTAGTTTTGAATTGTAATTATGTTTTGTGTTGAATTGATTTTGATAGTTGAGATTTACTCATAGGTTTTCAAGATACAAATTAATCATGATATCATTTATTAGTGTTTGTCTGGCTAGCAAGGATAAAATGAGTTTGATCATCTCCATGCTCTTTATCAATTAACTCCTAAAAAATGCCCTATACAGAGGGGCTAAGGGAGTAACTTTTGTTAGATATGTCTTATAATAAATAAAAAAAAATCAACTTTTTCCTTTTCAAAATGGGAAAGGAGAGCTGAACAGTATGATAAGCAATAAAATTAAATTTCTAATCAAGGTAAAATTAAAAAAATAATAATAAATAAACTTTTATATGCCTTATATTAAAAATAAAAAAAATATAAATATGCTCTATAATATGAATCAAAGAGATTACTTGTCCATTAAATTGATTGAAAAATTAAATGAACAAGATGAGATGAAGTGTGGAAGATGCGTGGAAAGAGAGTATAGAAAAGATTAAAATCGGGATAAAAACAAATAAACAAGCTATGTTCATTATTCAATGATGTTTAACTATTATACCTGTGAGATTTACCAGAGCACATGTGTGGTATATTGTTAGCAGGTGCATGTATGTAATTGGAACGTCCAGAAGACTTGCAATGAATGTGGCTTTTATTGGGGATGTAATGTATCGAATCACTGGAAGGCCCTGAAGACCCTACCCTCATGGTCCGGCTTCCGGGAAATTAAATTCTGATGTGTATATCATGCGAAGTCCACGATCCATGTTTCTCCAACTACACCGAGCCCACCATCGACTTCAAGTAATGATAATATTATTATTTTATAAAATTTATGAGTTGATTTGTGTCTCTTCCCCGGGTACACATAAAAAAAGTATTTGAATTGTAAGGATAAAAGGTAAAAGTACTTTAAAAAATTTTTTGTAACGAGGGCCTGATATTCTAAATATTTGTTTAGAGCAATGTCACCCAAAACTTTTAAAAATAGTAGAATTTTATCTTATCGATAACATCAACTAACATTTAACTATCAAATATCACATGTTTTACACGTGTCTTCTTCTCGCTCACTTTGCACTGTTCTTCTCCCTCCTCTCTGCCAACTACCCCCTCTCCTTTCTCCTCCATATTTCGTCGTTATTTTACTCGTGTGCCTGAAAAGTTAGAAAAGATACAAGAGTAAAAAACCAATAAAATTTTCAGCTTCGATAAATGTGGGCAAAAAGAAGTCATTTACATTGGCCACCAACTCATACATCTATATTGTATAGGATTTAACGAGTGAGAAGACCGTTATATAATGCTTTACAAAAAGATAAACTCCAACGAATCAGATGATCAACAAGGATTTACCAAGAATAAGGGAGCCAGAAGCCATGTTCATGCAAGAAAAAAAATCCCAAAACAATTAAATAAACACAACCAACTAGACATTATTTCAATAATTGGTACAAATTTGTACATAGAAAATATACATAATAAATCTCTTAACATTGTAAGACTAACTTAACAAACTCCTAGGTTAGCTTAGCGAAAGGAGAAATGCTTATGAGGGCCTAGAAGGAAATGATGAGCACAGACCCTCCATCTCTGCTCTTTTCTTTGTCATCTTCTTTTCTTGTTCTAGCACAGATCGATAGGTGTTTGTCCTTTAGGTTGTTTGGGATGACAAAGAAGAAGCCTAGCTGTAGAATTGGGACATTACTTAAGTTGTAACCTACTATCACTGCCATGTCCTCCAAAGCACATACCACCATTGATTTATATGAGGGCAGAGGAGAAAAGTGAGGGGGAGGAGAGGCGGTGGGTGGTGGAGAAGAGGGAGAGAGCGAGATGGGAGAGTTGGGAAATTCAAAGTGTAGAGAGAGAAGGAGGAAGAAGAATGATGCAGAGTGAGGGAGAAGAGGACATGTATTACAATAAAATTTAGGTCAATGTTAATGATAGGATGAAAATGTATTCTTTTTCTTGAAGCGATAATGCTCTAGATAAAATTGTAAGGTATCAGGTGTTCCTCACAAAAAAGTTTTAAAATATTTTGTATTTTAACCCTACATTCTAAATTTATTATAACCTTGACTATTTAGTTGAAGTTTAACAATTATTTTTTCTATTGATGTTATACATACAATGTATGAATTGAATGGTACTTCCACCCAACCATAACATAGGACACATATTCTAAAAGTTTCATTTGATTTAAAATTTAAAACACTGGGTAATTTTTTTTAACTATACCTTTATTTCATTTGTTATTATTTTTTTAAAAGAAATATTTTGAAATTTCAATTATTATCACCAATACAAATATATAAAATATTTAATGGAGGTATAATTCAAGAGATATAAAAAATTTAAGAGATTAAAGTTTCATTTAACTTTTTTTTTTAAGAACCACACGACGGAGTAATATACAAAAATAAATGATCTCAAAAATCTTCTACCAAAAAAAAAAAATTGATCTCAAAAATCTTCAAATTCTAGAAGACCTACCGGCGAGATTACCTACTACTACTCCCTCCATTTCAAATAGAAGATAAACTACTATCATCTATTTCTTTGGTTTTATTTATAAGATAAATTATAAATTTTAACAATTATTTATCATTTTTTTTAAAGTGCTCCTCATAAAGTCAATGCTTATTTTCACTAGGCAAATTTATTTAATTAACTATGAGAATAATTTTATTCAATTTTTATTTTAAATATAATTATTATACTTAACTAATTTTATTAAACTATGTGAATTGATTTTTTTCTCTTGTAACTGAAAATGGAGAGAGTAGTACTATAAAATACTCTCTAGTACTATAAGATATTTTAATTTTTTTTTTAATTATCAAATCGTGCGTGTGTGCGTGTAATTTCCCAGGACTGAATTGGTCAAACACCTCTTGATTAGCAGATCAACAAACAAGTGTTCCTGGACCAGAGACGCGTTCATCAACAAATGGAAAAACTGTCGACGACTGAAAAAAAGGAGGTGTAGTACCGGCACGTTAGGATAAGTTTATTGGGAGAAACTTTTAATTGATACTTTTCAATAAACTAATTAATTATCTTTTAATTACACATTTTTATCATATTTATTTCTATCTAATAAGATATCTCAATAAAAATTTTTATTAATTGTACCTCATGATTAAGGATATTATTAGAAAAACACTACTAATCTTTTTGACCAGGAAAAAAATCAATAATTTCACTTTAACAAATTTAAAATATTTTATATTTTTTAACACCCCATCTTAAAAAATATTTTTAAATTTATTTTAAATTTGGGTATGTGATTTAACAAGAAAAAGAGAGAAAAAGATAGAGGTATTAAAAGGAAAGGTAAAAAGTAATAGAGATAAAGAAATCAAAATTCCCATTATGAAAGAAAAAAATAAATCAAAGTATCACATTTAAAAGATAAAAAATAGATTAAGAATATACAAAATTTAAGACGTTGGCTTAAATTGCTTTGATGAAGAATATTACCTCCAAATATACTTAATATAAAAGGTTCAACATAAAATCACGAGTCATTCAATTGGATATCAAAACAAGAAAAATGAGATAAAGGAAAAAAAATGCAAAAAATGATAGGAAAAAAAGGAGATTAAAAAAGAAAGAAAGAGAGAAAAAAAAGAAAATCAATAGACCTAATGACACTAAAAAAAAAAAGCTCAGATAAGAAGAAGAAGAAAATGAAACAAAAATTAAGAAAAAAGAAAATAGTAAAGAGAATAGTGAAGATAAAGAAATCAAAATCTCACATCTAGAAAATAAAAAATAAAATAAAAATATATAAAATTTAAGATATGTTTAATTAAATAATTTAAGTTACTTATTTTGATAAAATATATTACTATTAAACATACTTAATATAAATAGTTTAGGAGAAAGAGAGATGGAGATAATTAGTTGAAGGGTTAAATAAATGGAATAGCCGCCCTCAGCCTCTTCGACTTCATTTATGCCGCCTTCACATCGAACTTCAATTATACCCTTTTCCAATTAAGTGCGCGCGCGCGAGAGAATTAGGAAGCAGAACCAGAAAGGATAAAAAAGAGCGGAGTTTGGAATGGAAGGAAACATAATTTCAAAACTAATTATAATTTAGCCGAGCAATAATAAATTTAACATTTTTTAGAAAGCTTTAAGTTCGGGTATTGCAAATCGAACATGTTGAGGTGATTTTCTTCGGTCATGGGCATAGTCAGCAATACTGAATCTGGATTCATTGACGATAGCATGTACGAGGCAGTTTGTCTAACAAAATTGAAAAAGAAAGAGAAGAGAAACCAACACTCGGACATAAATTCCGCGTATACAGTTGTTGCTGCCTCCTAAATGCATTGAAGGCCGCATGATAATTAATGGCCATTCTCATCCACCTTACATTTATTGCATGATAATAGGATAAACTTTTGAAGTTATACTTGATTTTAAATATAATGTAAAGATGTGATAGTTCAATTTTTTGGACAATGTTCCTCTTGAATTGTCA